AAAATTGTAAAAGAAAGTAAAAAAATGTACAGATGAATTCATCACAAAATTAAATAATTCAATTACATGCAGATTTCAAGATTTTATTAGAAAATTAAATTATTATAAATAAATGGTGTTTATTATTTTTATTTATTAATTTACTGGATAAATAATAGTATTAAATTTTTTCTTTTATTTATTAAGCTTTTATATTCGCAAATGACAACAAAATTTGCTTTAATTCTGACGCAACGTTGCGGAAAAGTATAATTGAAATAGTCATAATACATCTTAATAATGTGAAATTATAATCTTATGCAACGAGGTTTTTGACTTTTTAATTAATAAACAGAAATATTAGTACATTATTATACTTTCCTTTGAGATCTTTATCATTAAAATATTGTATTTTGTACGTTAATAATATACAATATAAACCCAGTTTTGAATTGAAAAATAAAATTTTCCAAAAATATTCAAATTATTGTACTAAAGGGACATACTTGAATTTAGTTTGGAGTCAGCCTGAAAGACACTTGATAAACTTTTAAAAACCACTGTAAAATACAATGATAATTATTAATGATAAATCAAATTTCGTACGTATTATGCTTGCTTAATACTTAATATTTTAATAGTTGGATAACATTTTATAAAATTAAAAAAAGCAGCTGTAAGATCGTCGAAATTTAATTATAAAGTCGGAATCTTTTATTTACATTCTACAAGGTACAAATAAAAATTTTCAATTTAACAAGTATGGAAAAATTTGCAAATGAAATAAACTCTAAAGAAAAAAATATTCGTAAGTAACTGTATAATTTAAATATTTTTACGATTCAATTATAAAAAGCTCTAAATGAAAGCTCACGATAATTAATAAACTGAAAAAACAATTAAGATTATTGGTACTTTAACTTTGAACGACATAATGTTTTTATCAAGTCAATTATAATGAAATTATAGGAATAACTAATGTTGCAAGTCATTTAAAATAAGTTTCTGTTTTTCAGCAACGAAGTTGCCATTTCGTCTGATAGATTTCAGTTACAAACTGCAGGCATTCATGAAAGAAAGAAGAAGAAAAAAACAATATATTGTTTGAGAGAAAATCAATAACTATTGTATTTACAATAAAAAATATGCAAAGCGTAAAATTATTGAATTTTCGCATGAATTGAAGAGAATTGAAGAGACCACTTTGTATGTGATGAAAGTTCAGATATTACGTAATGGTGTTTCCTTGCGAATATTCATATGGCCCACGGCTATTTTTACGGAAACACTCTCTATCTCCCCCTCCCCTCCCCGCCTCCTTGACAGCACCGTTCTTCTTTTTTACGGTTCACGCTATCAGCACTATGACTGTCTAGCACACGTCGTGTCCCATGAGTTCGCGTTCCTGTTTCAACATCCTCAATCTGTATTCATGTATCTTTATCCGTTCAACCATTCAACCTTATCAGTCCCTCTACTCTTTCGTAAAATCTCTTCTCTCTTCTTCTTTTTGCAATTCTCCCTTTCAACGTCCATCCCAACAATGTATCGTGCCGCAAGATCAATAGGAGCTGCTTGTGGGCAAAAAAGAGACGGTACGAGGTGCAAAAGGGCGTACCGAAATGCACGGGAGTAGAAGAAGAGAGAAGATTGCACCGAGTGACTCTCACGGCTGCTGATCTTATCGGACGACTGATATTTTGTGCCTTGCATAGGAAAAATGAGCGTTTGTTTTTTTCTCTACTATTGTTTAAAGTCCCACATTTGATTTTATATGCGAATTAATGATTAAATGGAGATGGATTTAATGTTCAACCGGGAGTTGAATAATGGAAAAGATAATTCAAGTAAATTTAAACGATACGTTCCCAAATTATCTTTAGTAAACATTGTTTGTTACTACGTGTATTCCATTTTAAATGCTTTTAACGGTATGATTTAGTAATCCCGATGTGCAAATTTCCAATTTCACATTGAATGATCGAGTCAAGAACTCTATCAGCTATCGATGACAATGATATATTTAATGCTATTTATACCTAATCAGTGGCTTAACATATTATATTAATAAAATGTAATAAAAACTAAAAGGAAGATTTAAATTTCATCCGATATGCTTTCTGAAAATGAAATTTGCGATTACTATTATCGCCCGAGGCACATGTATGAATGACATATTTTTATGGATCCATCAATGTATTATATAAACATTATTTTATTAATATCATTCCACAGTCAGAATTTATTGATCTTTCTGTATAATTATATATTATACTCCAGTTATTAAAAATTACGATATTAGTAAATAATATTTATGTTTCAGTTGAATACATTTCACATTTCATTTCCATAATTTTAATAATACATATGGTTACACTGATAAAATTTATTTTCCTTGCCTCGCTGATAATTATTTTGCATAAAAAATATTCAAAAATATATATTAATTAAATAAGTCAAGAATAATATTATCATCATTATGATACTATTGTTAAATATTAAGGGATACGTTTAGTAGGAAAAAACTAAAAAAGAAATTAAAAATAAAAGAGTAGTATTTGTTATGTGTAGGTTATGCGTGCTACAATTCATTCGATAAATAACAAATTTATCATTGTCATTACGAAGGGAGTATAAATACAATGGATTATGATAAAAATCCATTGATTAATAAAGTAAAAATTATATTAATTTCTTGAGATTATTGTTATTACAATTTTATACGTACAATTTTCAAAACACAATGACATTGAACGTTGTTCGATATAAAGTGCGTATAAAGTAAATTTTATAGTCGAATTTGTGGTTACGGAGTTGCAATGTTCTAATTGAAAATCATATATTATTAATAGCAATATGTAAGGTAAGAATTTTGCTATTTAATCATATACGGACAAATACCTTTATGCATTGACCTTCTTTGCAACGAAATCTAAGCTTCTTGACTGCATAAATCCTCTTGAAATATCGATGTTCCCTGACTCAAATGGCTTTTCCGTTACTTTATTGCGTTCATTTTATTTATTAAGTTTTTTGATGTTTTCACAGACTCGCGAGACGGAAGTTTCACATTTTCAATAAATAATTACTAAGATTTAAAAGATGGAGAAAAAATACGAATAATATGCTTGCGAGGGAAATTAGTTTTGACAAAGAGGTATTGAGCACTATAGAAGATATAATAATTTAAAATATATCCAACTGATTTTATGAAATTGTCAATATCGTTGTAATATATTGGTTCGTTGTAACCAAATGCTGGTACCAAAATCTGGTATCAAAATTAATTTTCTATTGTATAGGGATAATAATGTTTGTTTACATAAAATAATAATTTAAATTGATTTAAGATGCTTATGATTAATACGAAACAATTATTTTCTATTAGAATCAAATAATTTCAATAATTCAATCGAATTTTTACATTAATTTCATGCAAGTTAAATCTTAATTAAATAAGGGGACTGACGGTAATGGATTTAAAGTGTTTCTGATTAATACTTTTATATTTGCATTGAACATTGATATTATAATCAATACGAGTCTGCGCTATATTATATAATAAAATTTTATAAAAATTTAATTTAGAATTTAATACAAAATCATTTTAATCTTCTTAATTATCGTATAATATTTTGTGAAACTCGATTTTTTCTCTTATTAAATTTTTTGTCCATACAACCGTTGGTAAACTAACAAAAAATTATTTTACAATAAGTTTAATAGTTGTTGTCTAGAAATGATTATTACTATTAAAAAAAAAAAAAAAAATGGTCTTCTAAGTAATCTAATGTGTAATTATAAATAATAGAAATATTTAAATTCTTTACTTTTAAAAATGGAATAGTAACGATATATACGATTTAGCGCGTACAATTTTCTTATAGTATTTTCTTATTGTTACAAGCATAAATAAATCGAATGACGTACCTCTTATTATTAAAATTTAATGTTAATCATTAAAATTTGAACTGAATAAGTTATTTATTAATACATATTCGGCTCCCCACTGTCTTTTAGTTTGCTAATAATAAACCTGACCTTTTCAGTTTAAAATATACTAATCATGTATATAATTATATATATTCAACTGCCGTACTAATATTCGAAAATTTTTATTTAAAAAATGTTGAACGAAAATTATATTCTGTCGATCTTTATTTTGTAATGCTTTAACCAAAAATCACAATTAATTTAGTTCCTATTAAAAATTAAAAAAAAAATATCACGCCCAAGTTTTAATAACCTTACGATATTCATTACAGCGATACATCAGAAGTTATTACTGATAAGTGCAAAAAGATAGAAAATAATTTCACTTCAATTAGAATGTAATGTTGCAATTATAATGGCTATTATATTGGATTGAATGAAGAATGAAATTTAAATTTGGCATTTTTCATCGAAAATTTACAAATTAACGTTGATATCATTACAATGAATTTTAAAATAGTAAATTTTACTTAATTTTTGTTTCAATAAATTTTTCAGTCATTATGTTAGATATCTTCTTTTTCCAATAATATAATTCACTTAAACACAAATTTTTTATTTTATTTTACACTTTTTCTTGGCAAAATTATTAAGAAAGACATATATAATTTCAGGTAATGTTGCATTAATCTTCCTATGCAGCTATTCACACTCACTATTGGAATAGCGCATTTCGTATACTTTAATTTAAATTGTCAGGACACAAAGAAAAAGAGAAAATGCAAAAACATAAATTGATCAAGATTCGTTATGGAATAGGAGCTGCTTTCATGATCGAAGCTAAACTTTAATTATGTAAATGAGCGAGAACACACAACAATTTCATTACTATGGTAAAAATAATATTTATTTAGATGGGAGGAAATATGAGTTTTGGGCTGAATGGGCTAAATATCATCGTTGAGAGACATTGGAAACAACAGCGCCGCAACGCAAATCTCTAAATTCGATATAAAATTAGAATAAAAAGCGGCACGTGCAACAGAGAGGGACAATTAATTGTTGTTGCCTCGGTACGTTTGGCTTACCTTTTCGCCACTGTCGCTGGGCAAATAAAAGACAAGTATCGTTAGGAAGGATATTCCCATGCAGGGAATAATGAGATTGACCGTGTAGAAGAGGGTCTTGCGCCTCATGGTGATGTTGAAGGTGATGTCGAGGTAGGGCTCGTCGCAGCACGTATAAAACTTCTCGTTTCTGCAACAAGAGTTTAGAGGTGTTTCAGCCTGACTTTAGAAAAGGATGCGGAAAGGACGGGATGTTAAGCGTAGGGAAAATACGTCATAGGTAGCTTGAAGAGTCTTGGTACGTAAAGTCTCGCTTCTATTTCGTTAGAATGTTGCTCCTCCATTTTTTTTTTCTTTTTTTTTTTTTTTTTTTTTTTTTCTTTTTTTTTTTCGAAGAGGGCATTAGGTTTTATAGACAGTGGAGTGGACATTATTTGTTTTTAGATTGGTTTGCAAGGAATATTTTTCTGGATTCTTACACTTTGACCTCGTTTCAATCGATTCGGTTCTCGTTCTCCTGCCCCTCACGATATTCTCAACAATAGCATAGATAAGGCATACACGTGCATCTTAACAAAATTTTTTGAGTGAAAAAATTAGGTAGAAATTAAAATTTTTATACCAAGCCAATAGCTTTATGTATGTACTTTAAATTAAATATAACAAATTAATTGAATTGGGTATGAATTCATTATTATAATAATTAAGTAAAATCAACTGCTTCATTTAGTTAATTTACTTGAAATAATTTACTGAAAATATAAAAAAATTTGCGAAATTCTAGCGTTGAGAATCATTTCAATATTATAATTAATTATTTTTAACAATTTCTTTTTCTTTTTTTTTTAACCATTCTGATAGAATTATAGAAATTATCAGTATTTAACATTTTTCTGTTTACATAATTATGTCAATAATTTTCAATATAATATAAATTTAAAATACCATACATTAGACTTTCAATAAAATCATACGAGTGCAATTAGCTTTTAAAGTAGATTTACAAATAATACATTTAATATTTATTTACAATAATCAATATTCTGTATATTTGTGCTCAATTACTTTTGTATAATGAAATAATGTTTCACTTAATTTTGTTAGTTATCTAATGGAAAATAAGTTTTTTTTTTTTAATTTTATTTTATGTTATGTTCATTAATGACTAAATTAATAATTAGTTCTTATTTAAAATAACTAATTAATTCATAATGGTTTAAAAAAATTAGGCCTTACATTTAACGGTCATCATATGCGTGGAATAATTATAAATTTTAATTTCAATTTAAAATTTTAGCATTTCTAATGTTTCAATAGATGTTTAGTTAACAGGTAGATAAGTTTTTATTCTGTTTTAAATTTTCAAATTAATATAATAAGTATAAATCTAATGAATATAAATAAATTAAGTTAAGATATATTATATTTAAATTTAATAAAATTCTAAATGTAAAAGGTATTTTGACAATTTCAAGTGGAGAACGGCAGATTATAAACTGATCTTTGTTAATAAAATTGCATCCATCCAATATGTATTTCAAGTTAAATTACAGCAGTAGTGAATAAAAGATATTAACAAGCTGAAAAATATATTAGTACAATAAGCATTGTTTATGGACTATATTTTTCAAAATGATATTAATCAGCTATAGTAATTCTGATTTATACTAATGATTTTGTATTGTTTAAAGAAATAGTAATATATCGATAATTACGATAGTACATTACAATGTTGATTTTTCGTATTTTGTACATAAAGTTTAGTTTAAATCAGAAAAATTTATTAATACTCATTATTAAGCGCAAACGGTATGCGGAATGCGGATTTTACTTTAAGCTATTAAATCGATGAATCATTGTTAGAAAAGAGCTTCTTTCATCTATCAAATTGATTCACGTTTTATTCAAAATAATCGAAAAATAATTGAATAATCTGACAAATTATATTTAATCGTGAAGTTAATTTCTCCTTGTAAAATTGATTTCTTGTGAAATGATACACAATCTTGACAAATGAAATTATATTTTTTTTGGTTTTATCAATTTCATTATTCATTACCGAATGACTGTGCGAAAGAAGTTGTTTTGTTACATTTATCGATCCGCATTTTTCGAATAGTAGTATTAAATCTTTTTTTTTCTTTCTTTCTTTCTTTTTTTTTTTTTTTTTTTTTTTTTAACCATTGTATACCTTTAAACCCAAATATCGTAAAACGTAAAATAGAAAGAAAAAAAAATAACAATAAGTATAAAATAACACAGCAACTGAATTCACATAGAAAAATACACTGACAATTATTGGCGTGGAAGAGCCCATAAAAAGGTTAACTTCTCTTTAAGTTCGAAATCACAACGCAGATCTCGACGAGATATAAAAAGATCAGGTAGTGTCGAGTAAAATAAGAAGATCGTAATATTCGTCGGACATTCAATTGTGATAAGGAGAGGGCGACTTGCACGTACGTCGAATAAAAATTGTTTTTGTCCATGTCTTAGCGGGAATAATGGACACTTAAGATAGATGTATCCTTACCTGACAGCTGGCACCTCGAGGATATCCCACTCGACGGAAGTATAAAACTCGGAGAGATCCACGCCTATATCCACGACGTTGCTACCCTGCACCTCGTCGATGTGCCTCAGGTCGACCTGTCCCATAAATAGCGATAAGCCGTTAAGTAAGTAAAAAACTTGTTAAAGCATTTTTACATGTGGCATTATATCGATGAGAACTGAATATGCGTTTATCGTTCTTTTCTCATCTAGTTATCTCATTCTTTTTCTTCTGGCAGACTCATCTCTTTATCAATCAATGCGATAAAGTGTAAATCGATAAGTACGGGACTATGTATGCTGCGTGCATCATCATTATTATCATTATTATTATTATTATTATTATTATTATTATTTTTGTTGTTATTTTTATCATTATTATAAATATTATTATCATCATCATCATCATCATCACGATAGATAAAGATATTGGATTTTATTTAAATTATAATTAATGCTTTTTGTGACAGTTATTTTTATACGCACATTGGGAGAATCGAAATTTTATCCTTTTGAATGTAAAAGCGACCGCGTTTTTTATTCAGCTTATGTTACCATAAACTCATTATTGATTCGAGCTTAATATATTCCTTCGTGTATTTCAGTTTTTTACTATTCATCATTTGTCGTATCGTTATTTTCATTCCATATACAATCATGTATATATATATATATATATATATATATACATTTCATATTATACACATTCGATATTTCAATATTTTTTATTATTCGGTTATCGAAATAATAGAAATGTAGCGTTATTGCTTTTGGATTTGATAATGAAAGTATCGCAATCTCTGGAATTGTTTTAAGAAATACTGAACATTGGCCCATCAGTAATACAGTACTAGTGAATGGATCGATCGATAAGCTTTTATAAGGCAAGATTGTGTATAATTGAGTAGATGCTTCCCTAGATAATCAAAAGCTATTAATTATTATATCGGAATTTAGTGTTGCATAGCCAATTGACAAACACAATGTATAAAGTCGATCGATGCGAGAAATGCCTTGTAATAAGATAATGGAGAAATATAAAGGAAATAAATGATGGCTGATGACAAACGCTTAATTAAGGGTCTGAGAACATTTTTCGTATTTACCGAGAAGGCGATAAATAACATGGAATTTGAAAGTGTGATAGTGAGGCGATTTGAGGAGAAAGATACGAAATGATAGAGTTAGAGAAACTATTCTAGAATTCGGCATTGTATACATTAAGTAATTCGATCGAAAGAGATTTACGAGGGTAGTATATAAGGAGATCAGTAGGCATTTGCCAAAGCTCAAGTTGCTCAGCGGCAAGCGATGGTACGAAATTTATTGCGATGGATCCATGTGGATGTTAACTTGTCTCATTAGAAAACTTATAGCCCATATGCTTACATCAACTTACTCACGCTTACATCAACTTCACATCTCAATTATTTCCACTCGTCGCTAAAACTCGAGGTTTTAACTTAAATTAAAATTCCACCGTCCTATAAAATTTCCTCGACTTATTGTCAAAAGTTTTTTTGCCACTAATTACCGAGATAATTAATTTTACGAATACTGGCCAAAATCATGTAGGATTTATTAATACTCAGTGACCGTGTTAGTTTTGCCCCTATTACATTTTGCTCTTATTGCTCTTTCACGAAAAATACTGTTAAACAATAATTAAACTTGATGTAAGCGTAAGCGGAGGCGATAATACCATTCAATTTAAATCAATTTCTTTTACCATGATATTGGATATCCTTTTGATATATTTTTGGTATATTATCGATCGATAGGATAATATTATATAAACAGAAGGCTAGTAAAGTTTTAAAACAATACTTTGAGCTTTAAATTAAGAAAAACTATTATAAAGCAAACTTACATAAAATTACATTAATAAGGCCGTATTCGAATAATCGCGAATGCTGTTAATATAGCAATTGAATTTTTTTTTTTTTTTTTTTTTTTGAAAGAAGAAAGTGACGGATAAGTAGATTTTCCAATCAGCAAGTCACGAAGCTTGTCCAAGGTCATGCATATTAATTCCCTCCAACTTGGCATAATCAGCTCGTAAATATCCAATTTCACCACTTCGACTCCCCCCACCCCACCCTACCTCGCCCAAGCTTTCTTTGTGAACGGTGTTTATGATTTCAGTCGCTTATACCAATAGTGATTTATCCTCGAATAGGGGGATTACTGGCTTCTCGTGCATCGGGAGGCGAAGATTACGTTGTTAAGGAAGATTACACGGATTGGAATTCGACAAGGTGGTTGATGCGAAACTCGCATTCGCGCATCACAGCCACAAGCTCGACAATGAGATTCCTAAGCAATTGGCAGGACTTGCTCGATTTGATTACAGAATTTATTTCGCTAGCAATTAAATTGCAGGGCTGCATTGCTTGTTTGATGAAGTACATGTTATTTTAGCTTTCAAAGTGTACTTTATGATGAAATTCGCAAGTGCGTTGAACAATGTTTGGCAGCCTTAACTGCTTTCACCGCTGTGTCTCAGCCGGAGACGGATTTATTCTCCTTTATGTTATCTAGGATATAATAAACTTAAAATCATTTTCATTGATGATAAATAATTTAAGTAAACGTACGAATTATTATGAAGCTTGTGTGCATGTAAAGATATTTGTAATTTCATTATTTCGTTGCTGAACAGGACAATAAATAATTAATCGAATCTATGTAAGATGTAAAAAACATTGTTCTTAACTTTCTTATTAAATTAAAAACAATTACTCAATTATTTGGATTATTAAGTTAATATTACATAATTAAATGAAAAATAAACCAGTTTCGCTATAATAATTCTAGATTTGTATAATGTTATTTTAAACAGAATTCAAAGTCTCGCATTACCCTTAAAGCATAATGCCGTTTTAACGTTTTAATATTTTAGCGAGTTCTATTATAATGAACATACAATAAAAATTTAACTGTTTAATCGATAAGAGCGAGCAATTCTCCATTAAAGAATAAATTAATTACGTTTTTATAAATGTTTATATGTAGTTTCTGTTTGTATAATTTTTTCTGCTCGTTTACTTTTGCACAAACAAATTTAAGTGCAAAACAACAATGCAAATACATATCGTAACTTTTATTCGAATTATTTACTATAGAATCGTTTGCTCAGAACGGACCGTAACATGGCAACACGAATGAAATATTGTAAAATGGATAAAAAAACGGCGCTGGATGATTGTTCTCTATGTGCTCAAGTGCTGCTACGCAATTCCACCAATGAAAATAAATGAGATAAATTAGGAACGGAAAATTTACTACACACACGCACGCGCGCCGCTTAATTAGGTTTATTCAAAGAAAGTGTCGTGTCGCACCTTACTTTATAATATACACAGCATACGTGCGACTTTACGTAGACGCGTTAAATGATAAAAGAACAAAAAAGAACAAAAAAGAACAAAAAAAAAAAAAAAAAAAAAAAAAAAAAAAAAAAAAAAAAAAAAAAAAAAAAAAGACAACAAGGGAAAAAATCCAAAGAAAATAATAAAGAAAAAGAATCTTCATCGCGTTCTCCGTGAAGAGAGTAAATAGGAAGGAAATTGATGGATCCCGAGTGAATAAAGAGATAGTAAAGGAATTGGAGCGTCACTCACCTGAGAGCCATCATACGTCCACGAACCGAATTTCATGACGCAAGTCTGCTCATCAAAGGGAAAGTACTCGACGTCGATCTCGCAGGAAGACTTGTAAATCGCCGGGGGTTTCCATTCCACTCTGCCGGTGTAGTTGAGGGTGGCCTTCGTCGCCAGCGTAACTTCAAAATTGCCGTCGGCACTATGGACGTTTTAACGGGGACTTTAGTCATTTTTAAATCGCGCGCCCTAACGCTCGAGCGAATGCGATTTCATAATTGTCAACCTCTCGGCCATTGTGCTTTTCACCCGGCGTCAAATAATAGCAATTCGTCGGCAAGTTATTATTTGCAAATGCGATTATTTTTCGGACGAAAATCCAATTCCGATCCAATTCGCGATCGAGCCGATCCTACTTTGCCGCTCAACCAATTAACATATGTTATCCAATTCATTTTCACTCCTGCATTAATTTTTTTATTGACATACACTATTCACAATTTATAGATATAAAATTGCGATACAATACGGAGGATCGAGTTTTATCAACATATTTGCAGGGATGCGGGATGCCAATCAATTAACCGTATTATAAGCAATTATAAGTGTTTGTGGCGGTGCAATAAAAACGTGAATTTAGCGAAGTTCATGTAGATGTAGCTAGTTTCGACAGAATTTCTGAATTCTTGTTGGCCACGCTTGAGTTTCGACTACGATATTCCGACATCATAACGAAAGTTTAAACACTTACTTGGTATATGTAAAATTTCGTTCAATTTTGTTTTTTCTTTTTTATCTTTATTGAAAAAAACCGAGCGCATATTTGAAATCTCTCACTTGTTATACAAAACTATGTCGGGTCTCCAAATGTGGTCAGACGGGACGTGTAGCATTTCGACGCCCCCATACTCCTTTGGATCCCATTTGAGTTTGTAATCGTTCCATGACTGCAACACGGCACAAATACATCCACTTTACTTACAAAGCATCCGTGCATTTATATTGAAATCTTTCTTTTTTCCGTTTTCATTGTTTCTGCTCTAGGAAAATTATGTGATTTAATTATGTGATTTAAACTGTTCACTCTCTTAATGAATATTTTTTTAAAAGGTAGTTTTTGGCAAAATCACATAAAAATTGGGCGTTTTAGGAAAGCTAAACTCTCCCGGATGTAAATTTCTCTATTATTGAAATAGTTTAAAGCGGAACATATTTTTGGAAAAGCAATTATTTTTATTTCTAAATAATAATAATTGACAAAAGGGAGGGAAAAATACGTCGATTATGCTCTTATTTCGTTACTATAAATAGGTTATATAAAATTCTCTTGATTATAACTAGAAAAATAAGTCTAATAACCGAGCCAATTCTTTATTTTAGAGTTATTTTGAGTTTACTATATACATACGCACACAAACGCACACACACACACACACACACACATATATATTTTTTATTTTTAAAATATTTTTATAATATGTGTGAGTGCAGGTGCACTGACTGTGCATGCAAATAGATTAAAATTTTAAATATATGAACCAGTAAATGTAATTTACTCCACTAAATTACTATGTTTTTTTTTTCTCTTAAATTACTAACTCGTATTGCTTGTCTTCTATATTTCATTTATATCATTTATTAGTTAAATCAGACTTCTAACAATATTACATATTGGAAAAAGGGTTTAAATACTTTTCGATAAATAAACTATATTAATAGCATCATGGAGCATAGCCATCCATTGCCAATAATATTATATTTTCTGCTTAAAATACGCTAATTGATATATTTTTAAAGATAAATAATGAAATTTGTCTGAATTATATTTAGATGAATATTTAAAATAATTTTGCTTTTTAAAAATTCAAAACTGATATTTAGGTTAGTATTATCTTGTGAAGAAATTTCAAATTTAACAAAGAAAATTCATGTATCGATATTAGCCTGTATACACTTATTATATCGATTATATTATTTCTAAATGCATCCGTATCCAGGCTTTTGTGCATATCCATCATATCAATAAATATGTCGGCCTTAAATCACATTCTTCTATCGTTTAAAAATAAACAATAAATAATATACAAGTCGTCTAGGAGTGCTCGTAATTAACTGTCAATCAAGCGCAACAATGTCGCGTGAGGGGCGGGGGTGGGGGAGGACTCATTAAAAGATAGGAAGATTACTAGAATATGCGGCGTAATCCGCTGGTAAGAGTTCGGAATCGTAGATGCACACAGGACTTAGAAGAGCGAGAAACCTGGAGAAACGGCTCCGGGAGTGGCACAATATGGCACAATTGACCATAGCTTTGGGAATTAATTTATAGAGAAGTTGGCCGCTATGTCCACATTGACTTTTAAACAATTAAAATATTGAGATGTTTATTCGCCGTCGCGTTTGGCGAGTAGCCGATAATACTAATAATCCCTAGTCGTGCTCCCGACGTTTTTGAAAAATTTTTTATAGCACCATGAGGTACGTGGATAGGATAAACTTATGGATGAGACAGACTCTTTATTAATATAGAAATTATTATGCGCGATTCCGACTTTCAATGGCCATGGCGCTCCTCTGTTGAAATATATGACTTTTTTGTCGAGCATCGAAGAGGTTTAAGCTGCAGTACTTTGCGCGCAGCCTCACATCGAACTATCCGTAAAGACTTTCTACGAAATTAAGTGGAAAGTGCTAAGCAACACTGTCGAATTTACCATACGATTAAAGTATAAAAAAGTATAAAAAGTATATAAATAATGCAATTGCGTGTCATCATTTTTTTTTTTTTTTTATGTATTTTGTAGTTACGAAAATAGTGTTAAGTGTTTTTTGTGTCAAACTTATTTTATAATTTTCATTAAGATTCTAAGATTGTTAGATAATTAAAAAATCAATACTACTTCACAGAAATTTCAAATTTTTTTTCTCTCTACTTCTCTTTCTCTTACAACTTATAATACAAGTTATTTTCAACTTCTTCTAATTTGAAAAGCGTTCGAGGACAAAATTTCTGTTTATATGTAAATTTCATTATATAGGGATATTTGTTATTTATTGTTTTGTTTGTATTTTGATATATTTTATGCGTTACTCTATTTGCATGTTTTTATATTAATTACGTATGTTAATATTTTATGCTCTTGCATAAGAGGCTTCAAAAAAGTAAACCAAAATTCAGTGAGATAATTTAAATTCTGAGTGCAACTGTACATGTTTGTCGCATCGATTCATCAGGCATCGGAGCGTTTTTGTTTCGACATACTTTTCAGACTTTACAATTAATCAACGACGTATATTGTTATTTATTTCATTTATCTTTAACGCAACGTTTAATAAAAAAAAAAAAAAAAAAAAAACAAAAATGTACTATGTGCAATAATAAGTATAATTATTGTCAATTAACGCTCGAAATGATAAATAACGAGGCAAATCTGTTGTGTACGTAGAAAGTAGAAAATTTTGTTATATTATAATTGTCGGTCAATGTATTGATAGCGATCATTGAAGACTAAATAATTTTGTTTGTACGTATTAAACATTAATTTCTCAATCTATTATTAATTATAAGTAAATTCTGATTTGTAGTAGGGTGTAAAATAAAAAAAAAACAAAACTTATTTTTTTATAACCGAATATATAGACATAGAGACTCTCAATTTGACAAAAGCATGTTTATTTACTTTTATACATACATTTTATTATTATTAATATTAATTATATTAAAGTAAAAACCCATCGAATTAATTTTTATCATTCTTAATTTTAATTAAGATAATGAGCATACGCAGATTGTATTGTTTATAATATCCAATAGCATGAATACAGAATTAACAAACGCTGAACTAATAATTCAATATTTAAATATTTTATTATTTATCAGAATTACCGACTCTTTGGAAGGAATCTTCAATTACTTTGCGGATAATGCAAGTAAAAGAAAGTTTTAATAAGGAATGGTACTATAAGTTTTACTTTAATGGAATTGAATAGTTTTATTAACAAAGTCGTGGTGGCTGAACGTTACTTAGGCTCTTTACACTCTATAGTAATTTTTGAAACTTTTTTTTTTTTTGCGAAGATACTCTCGAATTTGAGAATTTTCATTTATGCTCACACTCTTATCTTCTCTCATTGAAGCACTTACGTATTGTAAATAGCAGATCATGCAATGGGAAAGAATAAGTGAATTAAAAAGTGGAAGGAGTTAGAGGATAAAGAGTATGGACAATAAGTTCGATAACACATTGCTTATTCATCAGTCGTCCTTTGCTCGAGTAAGCCGAGGATAAATTAGGTAATGAGGTGACATCGATTTACGGCTATTTTATTGCTTTGTTTTGAATTTTCGATCCAAGTTAAGGCATGAAACGGGCCGACTTGGATCAACGTTCTTCATCATTTCCATCCCTTAATGAAGATGTATTGTCAGCTATTAAATTCTGATGATCAGTGAAATTATTCTCCAGTAATTTATACTTAACACTTGTTTATTCATAATAGCGAACATGTAATTCTGTTTTTTAATGGAAACGCTGGCGCGTATAAGTATTGCCGGTGTCGATGATAATCAAACGGAGTAGTTGATCGATTATAAATGGCTATGAAAATTTCATTCAGTCAACTGGATGTGACAGCAATGTCGTTTTCAAAGTTGAGCTTTCCTTGCACTCTAATAATCTATGTGACATGCCGAAGGACATGTTCTTATAAAATAACAATAATCCTTTGCCATTACTTTCCAATAATTCGTCTTTCGAGATTATCTTCTATGCCTCTTCGTTCCATCTGTCCATCCCATTTTTACACGACTGTTTCTTTCAATAAATTTGTTTCTACATTAAGTTGTGCTATATAGTTATCGCCATTAGGAGATAAAATTACAATTGATTTATCAATTCTGATAAAACTGTATGAAAAATGCTTACTACATAAATAATATATTCTTACTAATTGTAACTAATGATTGTGAAGGAATGTCTATGGATATATTATTATAGACTTGTTGTTATTGCACCCAATTTTAATTAATTCATTTGAATTTCATTTTACTTTGGTTTATTTTTATTCTAATGGAATTTTTAAAGCTTTAAAGTAAGTTTATTGAATATTTTGTAACTTTGAAATTATGTTGAAGCGAAATAAACGATTCAGATAAACGAATAGTATCGACTCCTTCTCTGTCCGGTTTTATTCTTCTGTTTCGCTTCCGTGCATTAAATTATGCCTTATGCTTATCCTCGTCAGGATTATTGTCGTCGTGCGATAGTTTACGTGCATACATAGATAAATTAATTTCTCTGCATATTTGAATTCAGTCTTCTCGAGTCGTCAATGTATTTGAAGTTAATTTTTTTTATCAATAAAGTTTTATTGTAATATATATATATATATATATATATATATATATATATATATATATATATACTATAATTACCTAATATAGATAATAATTTTAAGATATACATTTCAAGTGATTTTCATGAAATGTCTTTTATATATGCACATATCGATGTACATTCGAAAATTCAAATGCTCAATTTACGGATGTTATATAACTTTGTACGATTGGAGCAGAAGGTATTAATTAAAATTACGACTATTAAAATTTTCTAATGCTTGTTTCTCTAAAGCTACATTATAACCTAAGATATACATTTATACGCATCGGTTGGCTAAGTTTGTTTTTCCATATCCAACGAGTCTTCCTCAGAAGCATTTAAAGATCCAGCGAGTTACAAACTGCAAACGTTAATTGCGCCTTTTTTCTTCCCCCCCCCCCCCGCCCCCCGCCCCCAATCAGCTTCCGCGTTGAATAGACGTTGTTACGGTGATGCGCGCATCTACCTGCAAAGCTCTAACGACATCTCGTCGTTATTTTCCAAACTCTCTCGAGCTTTTTCATTCAATTTAACCATTACGGGGATCACAGCTAGTATCGCCCTCCCTATTTCATCCGCAGTCTCATGCGCGCACGCGCACTCCAATTGACATTCGGCCACTCGATTTAATTCGCCACCGACCATCCATTATCATTCAAATTCGTCGCACTCGCTATCCACGCCGACGACGGCACGGCCGTTTTACGACCAAATCCATGAAATGTCGGGCGTAGCCGAAGACCAGCGGGAAAACTGATAACGAGTTCCCTTCATCCGTGTCCCCCGACGGATCTATTTTCTCCGAGATCCACATCCTTTGGTCTCTGTCGGACAGGGCCGGAAGTACGTGCTTCGATACATACGCTGCCGCGTCGAAACATTAAGACGCGACCCGCGTGCCCGACTCCAACCCTGTCGCAAGACTCCCGGACATGGCAACGGGGCGAGATATCGCGGGGACGCAGTCTGGATGTCGAGTGGAATGATTTTAAAATATGTATGTCAGAGCAGCTGGCAGAATTTGAATGGCATTATTAAATTCTCAGGAGCTTATTGAGAATGGATATTGAGTTGGATGTTGTGCCAGGCCGCGATGGTCTTTCGTATCGATTGCCGGGAGGCGTATTTCCCATTGGCTGAGAGGAGAATAAATGCGTTGCTGTCGTGAGAAATGCGTCGTTGTAAGGACGAGGCGAATTATTATTATTATCTACCGCTGGTTTAGGATTTTCAATACTTGCTTAAGCGATGCTTTAGTACGGTATTAGAGGATAAGGGCGTGTGCGTTAGGAGAACGGTCAAGTCCTACTTAACGATGCTGAATTATATAGTCAAGTGTCCTTGAAGTAAGTGCGCCCTTTGGAAATCGGTCAAATCCTTTTGTAATATTTGCATGCCGATGTGCGAATGTTTGTTGGGCAAATTTACTTGGCCTCGTCGATTCGAGTGCAAAGGTGGTAGTCGAGCGACGGGCATCGACAGCGTGAAAAATTTTCCCGCACGTTCCGTTACGCCGTTATATCGACATCCGCCAATTACCACCATTACATTAACCAACCGCGTAACGTGAGTTACGACTTTGCCTTAGAAGTAAATATTTTTCTAACGATTATTGGGAAAATAAAAGCAGGATTCGTAGTTTTTGATGGGCCGTGCGAGGGAGGAGTGGCATGTTTTATCGGTGAATAAAACGGTGGGAGCGAGCGTACGAATATCACGGGGTTTCCCTCCGTAATGCCGAATAAGATTAAATGACACGGGAGCTCGGAAATTGTGAAAACATTAAATATACCGAGTAATTGTAAGCAGCGGTAGACGATTTAAGGCCGCTGGGAGGTGAAAGTTCTCGTAGGATATCGAATGAAAAATATTATGGCGCATCGTGGAAGCTTGTGCACGAGATAGTGGAAAGAACGTTGATCGATTACGTGGCTGCTCGATGTAATAAGAGAGTATATTTTATCCAGACGATGAAATTTACAAAAATTTGACAAATTGTAAAGAGAGCAAGTTTAAGCACAATTAATAACATTAATAATAGAATTAATAAATTCTGATAAGTGAATAATTTGCCAGCGAGCATATATATTTTACGATTAAATTCAACTTCGTTACTTTAGAGAACTGCAACTTTATCATTCATTTAGCACACCAAATATGACTTGTGTTATTGTCTTCAATCAGTTGTATATATATATATATATATATATATATATATATATATATATATAATGCAATTTTTAAAAATGCTATTTTTAAATAAATTCTTTATATTTTTTGTGCATATAAAGTCCCTTACCATCTTAAATCAATTACCGTGTCTTACATTTTACTATTATGTACCATTGTATAATAATATGACTTGGAGTATATTGAAATCTTTTTCTATGAAGATGTATTTCTATATATATATATATATATGTCAGATATTTGAAAAGACAATATACTACATACGTTTACAATTACGCTCACCATATATATATATATATATATATATATATATATATATATATACATATATATATAAGTATAAAAATTTACGAGCTTTTTCAAAATAAGTTAATCTAAGGTTGAATGTTGTGTATTCAAGGATAATTCGCTTAAAATAATCGTCCGACGTACGAAAGAATACAAAGCGATAATTTGTATAAGCGAAGCATTCCAGGTATTTCGCGAAAACGGCGAAAAAACTAAAATGTGACGCACTATTATCGTGGGGCGTGTTTATTCGATGTGAAAAATTGCACACGCGAGATAAGACTTAAGAAAAAATCCAAAGAGTCTGCCGATTTTATCTCGTCCATTTGTACAATGGGGTTGCGTTTACTTTGCAGGGGTGAAAAATCGGGTCTTCTTCCTGCATAAATATATTTATAGATTGTTATGAGTTACGCGTAAAATTGATATTCTAGTTGAATTTCAAATTTTTTCAGCATGCCATTTAAGAGGCGATTTGGTAATTTAAAGCGAGATAGAATATAAAACTCGGCTTCTAATTAGTATTGTAAATTTTGGATTGATATATAGTTGAGAACAGCTAGCTTCTCTTAATTCCTATCGTAATAGATGCATTCGTGTTATTAGAAGAAAAAGATTATAAATAGTTTATTAATCAAGAGAATAAATATTTTTAATATCAAATGCATTACATTTGAAGGTTTTAACATAAAGTAATAAGAATATTTTTGCGTGTAAAAATAAGCGTAAAATTTCAAGCAACGATCTATCCATTTAACAACTAGTTGATCCATCGTTTCAAGGAATTATACTTTTGAGCTTCATGGTCATTAATAATTACGCGCGCTATTAATTGACTAAAGATAAAAGATAATGCATACAAAAATTATAAATAAATAATTACCTGTTCGACCCACAGATTCGTCGTCATAATCTGGTTTTTTAGATTCTAAAATAAGAATAAGGAAATTTAAGAACGACAAAATTTAGTAAAAATGTGGAGGACGTATTAAATAATAATTAAAAATTAGCTATTAGGAATGTACGGCAAATTGTTTCAAGTCGCATAGATATTAAATATTCAGGCATTCGAATATATTGAAATATTCAAATATATTTAACATTGTGGAAAGGCGTATGTAATATTGAGATATGTAAGGAGCGATGAGGCGAAAGAAGGAAAGAAGAAAAGGAAAAGAAAAAGGAGCAACGTTAAAAAAACATACTTTAAGAAGTATCATCCGCCGGTGCGAATGAATAATTGGCGAAGGGGCTGGGAAAATTTCTAGTAAAATCTGAGCTCTGGTATTCATATGGGGACGTTCATGAGTCAACGCGCCATCCCGATTTTCCTCCCTCTCTCTTTCTCTCTCTCTCTCTCTCTCTCTCTCTCTCTCTCTTTCTTTCACTCACTCTCTCTCTCTCACACACACACTCTCTCTCTCTGTATATATATCTCTATATATATATATATATATATATCTCTATATATATATATATATATATTCCGTCCTGGGAAATAATGTCGACGAATATGCATTGGGGCTCGGTGACGTAGGCGCAGGTCGCCGATGATTTACCACGTCGATTAGCTGGGATAGCTTGAGCTTGATTTTAACAGTCAAGGCATCCGTCACGTTGACGACGGGACGCACGAGCTTATTGTAGTTGGATAGTAGATCGTCGTACAAGCGCTTGGCGTCCGGATTCCCCGAGCAACCTGAAATGAGAAAGTTACTTATCAACTTCTTAAATGTTGTTGGTGCGTAGGTGCCGAGTTGGATTTTTGGTTTGCGTTTTGAGTGGATGATGGATGATGGGTGCCGATACTCGCCGAGTGCATTGGAATTTATAGCGAATGACTTTCTCGGCTTTTGGTTGGCTCGTGTCGTCTCAATGGAATGAAAGGCGATCTCGAGAAAGTTTGAGAAATATGTAATTTTGCCGAGTGGCAATTTGCGTTGGTAGCATATTTGTATTAGTGAGTTTTTTTTGCGGGTATGCTATGGTTTTGAACGCGTCTCGTTAAATTTTTCTTTTTTTTTTCTTTTTAATTTAATTACTGACGTCAACATTCATAAATTATATGTATGTATAGAGAATTAAAAGAGTAACGATGATTTTAGATAAGAGGTTGTGATTAATGCCGTTTGAATAATAAAAATAATCAGATTAAATTCCATAATACAGCCATAATTCTTTATCAAATTATAACAATGAATTTTTTTTAATAAAAAATTGTCTTTGTTAATTTATATGAGTATCTTGTTTTTTTTTTTTTTTTTTTTTTTTTTTTTTTTTTTAAGTATAACGAGATAGCGAGTGATTTTAATTTTGTATTTTAATAATGGAACTCAAGAGATGTTACTTTTATTAACATATCGGGCAAAATTATTTTACATTAATGTAAAACATGAATTTGTGTGTAATGCAAAATTATTTTTATAAATCATACTTAATAAATTACGCGACAGATATCTTGTAAAGCAACAAAACATTAGCCATATCTTAATATGTATATTAATATAGGTGCGTATAATTATTGATGACGTATAGAACTATGTGCGTGTGTGCGCGCATGCATGCATGTATTTAGGAACTATGCGGCTTTATTAATTTTCTAGACGAGTTTAAATGCGACATTTCTTTACTCAGTTGTGCAATTGCTTTTCTATTAATCGTTCATGAAATTCCTATATTACATATTGCCGTCCTCTTTTCACTCGTAGTCTGTGAACTTTTGATATTTAAACTATTTGCAGTTTCGCTTATATTATTGTACGAAACTTCCTATAAAGATAACTAATTGTATTGCGATATCTTGGCAAGCTTTACGTTTCGACGTTATTTAATTATTTTAATTCATACTACAGTATGCAATTGATGAAGTACGAATAAATTGGAATTTTGGAAAATTCAGCAAGAGACGCGGTTAATGGGGAAGAACGATGAAGTGAGAATTACGAAGCCGAATTGATTTGTCAGCGAGTTGATAAACTTTGAGAGGTGATTTTCTACTATTTCACGTTTAAGCGGTAAGGATTTCGAATGATCTAGCAGCGGCAAAACTTCGATAAAGCCAGATACAAATTGCCTTATTAGCGCAATTTGTCCGTCGAGGCATATTTATACTTCCGTAGTACATCAAACGCTTCGTGCTCGAATAAAGAGCAAACTGCTCGTGCAAATGAGTTTTGTAATGCTACGTATATCTCATTATCTCACGTTTCTATTTCCTCCATAAATTATTCTTGCTCGTCTTGTTTTCTATTTTATTATATACTTCCCATTCGTTGCTTATTCGCAATTATTAATTAAATTCGTATTATTCGTCTCGGTATCATGAAATTCAACTCATCGTCACATCACATTAGCATGTATTCAAATGTCGATAGCGATCAATGCGTTTACATTTTAATTTATCATTGAAGAATCTTTCATTTAGCTTATAAAAATTTATAGAAATAAATAATAATCGAAACTAATCGGAAAAAAATAATCTGAACTTGCGAAACTACAACTTAACTACATATATCGATGTCATACCATAGAATATTGTAAAAATGTTTTTAACTTAATTATTATGAAGCTCTTAATGCGCAATTACTTCACAAGTTATAGATTTCATTCTCTAAATTTCAAGATAGACGGTAGATAAATTATTAATTTCAATTTGCCAAGCTTTGATTAAAAATATTAAGTTAACGTGTAATTGACTGATTAATTTTCAGCAAAGAACTTTCAGCGACATTACATTGCACATAAAATGATGAAAGTAAAAATTATTAGAAATTATTAGTTAAAGTAATACAACGAGTGCTTATTGGCTGTTAGAAATTATTATATTGCACGTTCAATTTTATCGTCAACTTATGTTGTGATTACAAAGTAGGTGATTTAAATCTTTCGATAGAAATTATTTAATTCGTAACGTATTACAACGAAAGCGTGCAAACATAATTTCTTGACTCTTATATACGTAACAACGTGAAAAGGCAGCAGATACGACGCCAATGCTCCTCTCAATTAAATAGAAAAGTTGAAAATTGAAGTATTAAACGAACGTCAGTGGTTTATTAATCCTATTATTTAATGCATACAGGAGAAATTAAAATAAAAGGTTAAAATAATATTACTTTAGATAGTGTAATCGTGCGAGTATAGGCCAGTAGTAATGGAAGATTGTAAGAGTGTTTGACAATAAAAAACGTAGAATCTGAGAAAATTGTGAATTTACGAAAAGAAAGAAATTGCTTTATGATTCTCGATTCGTAGCCCATTTTCTCATTTCGTAAAGCAGATGTTAAATTCGAGTTTGCGAATGAATATTTGCAGGGCCCGATTGAGCATTTGGTGTCTCGCGTTCCCTCATCGGCAGTGAAGTTACACCGCTGCTGGTGGGTATCTGCATGTATGTGGGTAGGGTATAGGGTAGAGGGTATAGGGTAGAGGGTGTAGGGTGTAGGGTATAGGGTGTAGGGTGTAGGCTGTAGGGTGTAGGGTGTAGGCTGTAGGGTGTAGG